TTTTCAAACTGTTTTATTAAGGTTTATTTGTAAAATTCTGTTATCACTGTGACTCATATTTGTTTTAAATGTGAAAGGAACTCATTGCTATAAAGCACAACAGCTCTCAGAAACTAAAGGACAGAGCACAGGAAAGCCAACAAAGGTTAGTTTAAGTTTATCTTTACCTGTACCACCTCACAACAAACAAATAAATAAAAAACTTAGTTACTTAAGGTTGGCATCAGAGATTTAAATCACTACCATTTTTGTGTGTGTTTCACCAGTTTTCTGTCAGAAATCAAAAGGTCAAAGTTAAGTGAATCAGTAACTTTAAATTGCCCTTTGGGTAAAAGACAGTTTACACCTTAGACCACCAGTCCATCACAGGACCAACACAAAGACAAACAATCACATAATTAAACCAGTGATCGCTTTAATAGGCTCCATGCTCAGATGTAAGAAGATTAAAAAACCTACTCCTATTACAACTATTGTAATAGTATTCTGAACTAAGACCATTTGAAAAAAGAAAGCATTACGATACGTAATATATTGAGATTGAGATTGTTAATTTTCAAATATTTTATTTATTTATTTATTTTTACAATTCTTTAAAGATATATCTTTAACTGATTTAGGTAAATAGCCTATTCAGGACATCTAAAAATTGCTACTTTGTTCTTTTGTTTCAGGATTTTTGGAAACGACAGAAATTCCAAGCAGAATTTTGAAACTGCTTCATTGAGCACCAACCTTCAATTAAATCGACCATCAGGTTTGTTGAAACTCATTTCTAAATTTATAACCAGAATTGTTTTTAACTTAAACAATCTGCTGCAGTAATTATCAAACTCCTGCGTAAATATCAGTAATCTGATCAAAATTTAAAATTAACTTTAAATTAATTTGAAGCGATTGTTAAATAAGTTACAAAGTTTGACACTACTGCAAAAGCATCTACAAACGATTTTGGTGTTTAGTTTCTAATTGTTTACTAATAATGGTTTGAACTTGGGGAAAAAAGGAACAAAAGATAATTCAGCATGGTACTTACAGTATACATACCTGATACTTAGAGGGCAACATATGGAAACTTGCAAGATAACGTATTTACAAGGTAACATACAAGGCACCTTTAGGGATAAAGAAGCCAGTGAAGTTGCTGTAAAACTGGGGTGATGTGCTGAAATGAGGGGGGGTTTGGTAACGATGCCGGCAGCTGAATTTTGAACCATTTGAAGCTTACCGAGTAATTTTTGTGGCAGACCAAATAGGAGAGAGTTGCAGTAATCAATTCGAGAAATGACCAAACTATGGACAAGGATGGAAGCAGAGTGCAGGGAGAGGGATGGAGGAGACTGTTGATGTTTCCAAGGTGGAAGTTTGCAGACCGGGTAATATTATTGATGCTAGAGTGAAAAGAGAGAGTGCTGTCAAGCATGACACCCAGACTCTTAACGTGAGGGGAGGGAGAAACCATGGAGCTGTCAATGGTGAGGGAAAAACTGTTGACTTTAGATATGGTGGATTTAGTACCCATGAGTAGAAACTCTGTTTTATCACTGTTTAATTTAAGGAAGTTAGATGAAAACCAGGATTTAATTTCAGCTAAGCAGGAAGTGAGGGAGGAAGGAGAAAGTGAAGAATTAGGTGCTGTAGATAAGAAGAGCTGGGTGGTGTCAACAAAACAATGGAAGTGAACGGGTTGTTAAACATCTACGTTTATCTACATAAGTAAAAACAATAGCTATTAATTATAACCAATAACTATTCAATAACAATGTCAATGACAATTTTAGAGTGCTCAGCACAACAAGAAGTGGCACTAAGCTAGCGCTGTGCGATACAGATGCGCTAGCGAAGATGCTACAGACTTAGTGCTCTGCTTTACATTACACCAACATAATAAGCACTTTGTACAAAATCTATTTAGTATTAACTGATCATAGCAAACAAAGAGTAAACTTATTCAAATAGAAGTTGCAACATAGCTATATATCCTGATGCATGCTCAATAATCCAGGTAGAAAAATCTAAAAAAGTTAAGTCTGGTCCTCTGGACATTCAAAAAACAAAACAAAACAAATCTACATCTACATACAAAGCACAACTAGCTTTAATTTTTTATTTATTTATTAACCTTTATTTAACTACTTTGTAGGCAAATCCCATCCATCCATCCATTATCTTTACCCGTTTGTTCCATTTTGGGGCACGGGGGTCGCTGGTGCCCATGTCCAGCAATCACTGTGCGAGGGGCGGGGTACACCCTGGACGGGTCGCAAGTCCATCACAGGGACACATAGAGACAAACGAGACAAACAACCATTCAGTCTCTCACTCACACCTAGGGACAATTTAGAGTTACCAATCAGCCTAACATGCATGTTTTTGGTCTGTGGGAGGAAACGAGAGTACCCAAAGAAAACCCGTGCAAGCACAAGAAGAACATGCAAACTCCACACAGAAAGACCCCAGGTCCAACCAGGGATTGAACCCACAACCTTCTTGCTGTGAGGTATCAGTGCTAAGCACTGAGCCTCAATAACTCCATTAAATCATTAACATTTAATTTATTTTAATTATTAAGCATACAACGTAATTGTGACAGAAAATAGTGGATTTACCTGCAGTTATCTTTGTACAGGTGAGCATGTTGTATTTCCTGTTTATAACTGTTGTATTCAGCTGCCCACGAGATTGGCCGCAGGACTTTATCATCTTTTCCATTTTTCCAGACTCAGTTTAGGTTTTGGAAATAGAACTCTAGCTCCATCTTATATTATATATATTATTGTTCCATATTTTCCTAACAGAGCACTTCGCTCTCAGAATGCAGGCTTGTTTACGGTTCCTAGAGTTTCCAAAAGCAGAATGGGAGGAAGATCTTTCAGTTATCAGGCTCATGCTGGTGAAGATTCTCAGTCATCCAGGACATGATAAATTCAAAAAACGTTCAATACAAAAACAACTGGATTTTATTTGTAACAGAAGACATTTCACTCCGAGGAGCTTTCTCAGATCAAATAGCAGTGAGTGAGGGGTTCAGGTTATAAGGCTGAGTGAGATAAGATGCAAACAAAAACAAACAATTTCTTTTCTTGTCAAAGCAGTAACTATTGTAGCCACAACCACCTGATGCTGTCTGGGCTGGCCACAACCTTACAGTCTCCAATCTCCCTCAGGTTTCCTCTTCTACACAGAATGTAGTTTCCCTGTATCCTCCTGCCTCCACTCTCGCTCTATGTTACTCCCTCTTTTGGAAATAAGTGTTGACTACAGCATTTCTGTTCTCTTGGCAAAATCCACCACCATCTGTCCTTCCTGGTTTCTTTCCTTGACACCAAGCCTACACATCACTTCCTCGTCTCCTGTGTTTCCTTCACCAACATGTCCATTCAGGTCTGCTCCAATCACCAATTTCTCCTCCCTGGGAATACGCTCTATCATTTCATCCAGATCTTTCCAAAATGTATCTTTCTCCTCCACAACAAATCCGACATGTGGAGCATAACCACTGACAACTTAGCATCAGATCTTCTACTTCTACCTTCAGGCACATCACCCTATCTGACACGCTTTTCACCTCTAATACATGCTTTGCCAATTCCTCCTTCAGGATCACCCCTACTCCATTTCTCTTTCTAACCCCACCATGGTAAAACGGTTTAAACCCTGATCTAATGTTGAGAGCCTTGCTGCCCTTCCACTTGGTCTCTTGGATACATAAAACATCTACCTTCCTTCTCTGCATCATGTCAGCCAGCTCTCTACCTTTGCCGGTCATTGTCCCCACAGTTAGAGTGTCCACCCTCAGTCCTACATTCTTGACTTTCCTCTTCTCCCTCTGTCTCCTGACACGTTTTCTTCCTTGTGGTCTTAGACCAACAGTAGCACAATTTCCATCTGCGCCCTGTTTGTCTACAGCACCGGTGGTGATCATTGTTAACCCGGGCCTTGACTGATTCGGCATGGTTTTGCTTTGATGAGCTTGTATTATAGTTTGGCAAAAGTGTTGGTCCCTCAAGTGACATCAAACCCCATACAATATATGAAAGTGAAGAGCTGTTTTTAAAGCACCAACTGAAATGGCTGGAAACCTCACAAAACCTATGTTTTTAAAACCAGTTTGCATTACTTTTCAATGTTTGCCACAGAATATTGATATTTATGTTATGTCTCTGCCATATTTTGCTGAATGTGTAATTTGAACAAGATAGTGGGTGTCAAAGATTAAATGGAGGTGGCAGGGGAGGTGTCTTGTGTGCTCACTTCCACATTCATCTGGTTGTAAGAAGAAAAGATGTGAAACATTAGAGTCCTTAAACTCGTTGTCTGCCTGACTCATGAGACACTGTTTGGTCACATGCATGAAGGTGTGAATTGGAGTGGAAATGACTGGGAATCAGGCCTAATGCTGCATTGTAGGATTTATTCAGCTGAAATCGGAGACCTTTTCCTCGGTTTAAAGTAGTTGTTTTTCTTTTTTGTAGTTTTACTCTAATCTACCATATATCTGAATTTAGGTTACACATCAGAGCCTCACGCAGCTTGGAACTCCACACTCTCCAGATTTTGAACTGAGAACTCCTCACAGACAGGAAGAGCAATGTTTTCAGCGATAGAACAGAAGTTGTTCTATTTATTTATTTATTTACTTATTTTAATCAATTTTTTGGATTACCCATCCTGGATGACGGAGAATCTACATCAACTGTTTAGTCCCAATTAGTTTTGAAATATCTGCAGCTGTAAACTCAATGTTAATAACTGGATATGAAATGACAACAGCTGCATTCCAAATAAGGGTACTATAAAACGTAGGTACAATTTGACTAAGACCTTTTCTTCCACCAGCATGTGCAAGTGGTTGTTGCCTGAGTTGTATTTGTATGTATTTATTTATTTATTTTTCAGGTTGTGTGAGAGATCTGAAGACGTACAGCTAAAAGCAACCCTCTCCGGAAGAACCCTCTCAGGATCTGTCCAGAAGTTTTGTTCTCTGAAGATCAGTTACAATGAAACGATTCTTTGCCCCATTATCAGACAAAGCCAAAAGGCTTTCTGAGGCTGTTAAAGTTAAAAGCAGCTTGGTGAAACCAAATACAGGGCCTCTCTCTTCTTATAAAATTCCCCTGGATGAAAAAGAAATCTATATAAAAGGGTGCAAATATTTCAGTTTTGGGAAAGAAAACACAAATTCCAACCGAACCATCATGGTTCTTGGAGTCACTGGTGCTGGGAAGTCAACTCTGATCAACGGGATGATAAATTACATCCTGGGTGTCCAATGGAACGATTCGTATCGGTTCAAGTTGGTGCATGAAGGTCAGTCCACGTCACAGGCTCACAGTCAGACATCTGAAGTCACGGTGTACAAACTCTACCACCAGGATGGGTTTTTGGTCCCCTTCTCTCTGACTATTGTGGACACTCCAGGGTTTGGAGACACCAGAGGAATAGAACGAGACGGAGAGATCATTGAGCAGCTACGTAGCCTCTTCTCTTCACAGAATGGTGTCAGTGAAATTGATGCTGTGTGTTTTGTAGCTCAAGCAGCTTTAGCTCGACTCACATCAACACAGAAATATGTGTTTGATTCAATCCTTTCAATCTTTGGCAAAGATGTGGCGGAAAACATCAGGATTATGGTGACGTTTGCAGATGGTCAGCTGCCTCCAGTTCTAGAAGGAATCAATGCATCAGATGTCCCATGTCCTAAAACCAACGGGCTGCCGGTTCACTTCAAGTTTAACAACTCAGCTCTGTATGCAGACAACAAAGCTGCTTCAACCAGCAGCATTGATGAGGATGATGAAGATGAAAAGTTTGATCAGATGTTTTGGAACATGGGAACAAAAAGCATGAAGAGTTTTTTTTTTGCTCTAAACCAAATGAAAACCAAAAGTTTGATCCTGACAAAGGAGGTCCTGAGAGAGAGACAGCAGCTGGAGAATTATATTGAGTCTTTGCAGAAGGAGTTTAAACTGGGTTTAGACAAAATGGAAGAAATAAGAGAGACGAGGCAACAAATCAAAGATCACGAATCAGAGATCAGCAGAAACGAGAAGTTTCAGTTTAATGTCACTGTCAAAAAGGCCATTCAAACTGTTGTCACTGGTTCTAGACACTTCATCACCAACTGTCAGCAGTGTTCTTTCACCTGTCATGATTTTTGTGCATATGCTGATGATAAAGATAAAATACACTGTGTTGCAATGAAGAAGAATGGATACTGTATGGTGTGTCCAGGGAAATGTTTCTGGAATGTACATTTTAATCAGAAGTATAAGTGGGATTATCGAGATGTCACAGAAACAAAAACAATAAAAGAGCTGAAAGAAAAATACCAGAAAGCCACCGGATTGAAGATGACTGTTCAGGGCGTGCTGGACCAACTGCAGACTGACTATAAACGTATGGAGGAAAAGGTGGGGAGACTGACAGTAGAGTCTGCAAAGTGTCTGAACAGACTGAAAGAAATCGCCCTGAAGCCCAATCCTCTCTCTGCTCCTGAGTACATCGACCTGTTGATTGAAGGAGAGAAACAGGAGGGAGCACCAGGCTGGAAGACACGAGTCGACGCTCTGATGAAGATAAGAAAAAAGGCTGAGCTATTGGCACAAGTGGAGAAAGGAGAGAAGCCACTGAAACATATCTAACATTAGCAGAGATTCCACCGATTAAACAATAATCTCTTCGAGTTCAGCCATCAGCTGCAATCAGTTTTGATCCATTCTGTTAGAGTTCAAAATATCTCAGCTTATATGCAGGTGATTTTAGCTTCAACCTTTCTTTATGCTTTCCACCGCCCGAGTTCCTCCCCTAACATGCCTCTGTCAACTCTCGTTCTCACAGCTTTTAGTCACCGATTCTTTTCAGAAACAAAACGAGGAACTTGACCTTTTATCTTTGGACCTGGTGTCGCCCCCTGACTCTAAATCTGGGGATTATTTTACTGACTCAAGTCTGTTTGGACTTGTAAAATTTGGCAACAAAACATGACTCTGCTGATTTCAATCATTTATTACAAATTATACTGTAGACTATTGGGAGTGGCCGTGTATATTTAGTGGTTATTTTTAGCATGCATGATTCAGGTACTTGAAAAATTAAAATAAAAAAAAACTTTTAAATATTGCATCTTTTGACAGATATTATGGCTCTAACAAATATCTTATAAAAATAACAATGTCTGTTTTTTTTTAAAGTTTTGGACAAAGATACTCAAGTACCTCTATAGACGTACACAATATGTTGTGTATCCACCTAATTGTATTTTGTTATATTGATTGAGAAATAAATAAAGTTATAAATAAAATCACACCTAAACAGCTGCTTATTGTCCTTTTTTACACCCTGACATTGTCAATACTTTTATTTTAATATGTTGGAACTGTTTAATGAATCATAGTGTTTCTTATACCACATGGCAACCATCCGTCCATCCATCCATTATCTTTACCCGCTTATTCCATTTTGGGTCATGGGGGTCGCTGGTGCCCATGTCCAGCAATCACTGTGCGAGGGGCGGGGTACACCCTGGACGGGTCGCAAGTCCATCACAGGGCCACATAGAGACAAACAACCATTCACTTTCTCACTCACACCTAGGGACAATTTAAAGTTACCAATCAGCCTAACATGCATGTTTTTGGTCTGTGGGAATAAACCGGAGTACCCGGAGAAAACCCACGCATGCACAGAGAGAACATGCAAACTCCACCCAGAAAGGCCCCTGGACCGAGGTTTGAACCAAGGACCTGCTCGCTGAGAGGCAGCAGCTCTACCAGTTGTGCCACCGTGCTGCCCACATGGCAACCAAGTAAACATAATTTTGTTTCCTCTGTCAATACTTCTTGCAAAAATAAAAAAAATCAAACATCCATAGCAGACTTGTGTTAAAACAACTGAATCAAACTGACTGTAAGGCTGATGTCCTGTACATCTGCACCTTAACGTCTCTGAAATAAACAGATTCCTGTGGCACAAACAACTGATCAGTGCTTTTAAAAAATGTTTTTAGAAATGTATGGTGTCTTTTAAATATAATAAATAAGAAAGTTCAATTCAATTCAGTTTATTTATATAGTGCCAAGTCACAACAGAAGTCATCTCAGGACACTGAAGAGAAACATTCATATACATATCCTGTAAAACAAGTTAACACTATTTATCTGAGGAGCAGACTTTTTTGAATTTACTTCATCACAGAACTTTCACCTTGAGTAAGCATGAAGGCGACAATGGAAATGATAACTCCCTCATGAGGAAGAAACGTTTAGCAAAACCAGACTCAGGACAAGTGGCTATCTGCTTTGACTGGCTGGGTTTGAGAGGCAGAGATACACAATGGCAGGTCCAGAATCACATTTTTACTACTTTGTACATAAATAGTATCAAATTAAAACTATTCAATTTTAACAATTCATTTAAGGAAATGAGGTCAAGGGCAGCACAGTGGCACAACTGGTAGAGCTGCTGCCTCTCAGCGAGCAGGTCCCTGGTTCAAATCCCGGTCCGGGGACCTTTCTGGGTGGAGGTTGCATGTTCTCTCTGTGCATGCATGGGTTTTCTCCGGGTACTCCAGTTTCCTCCCACAGACCAAAAACATGCATGTTAGGCTGATTGGTAACTCTAAATTGTCCCTAGGTGTGAATGAGAGAGTGAATGGTTGTTTGTCTCGATGTGTCCCTGTGATGGACTTGCAACCTGTCCAGGGTGTACCCCGGCCCTCGCACAGCGACAGCCAGACATGGGCACAGGCGACCCCTGTGACCCAAAATGGAAGAAGTAGGTAAAAGATAATGGATGGATGTGAAAACATCTCAAATTCTTGGAACAGTTTTGCTCAACAGCTCCTCCAGCACAGAGATCAAACTTTATAGAACAAGTCAATAATGAAAAAGATCAACTCCCTACATGTAGTGCTTTTTAAAAGCTCATCAATAAAAATCCAAATAACAGGTGTAACAATGGCGCTATCTAGTGGGCCTTCCTTAACATTACTCCCTAGGGTGCTTCTTAATCAAACCTGATCAGATTCACCCTTATCTCGTCTCCAGCTGTTTGTAATTATGCCCTGTCTTGTCTGTGTATTTAAGTCAATCTGTGAGTTTTGTTCAGTGTCGGTTCATTGTTGGGTATGGTCTTGTCTTTTCTTGTCCTGTCCTGATCCTATCCTAGTTCCGTCCTGTTTACTCCCTGCCCTGTAAGTTTATGCTGCCATGTCAGCTTGTTTATTTGTTATAATTAAAAGTATTTATTTTTACCCCGCTGAGTCTCTGACTTCCTACCTGCACCAATGGGTTCATTCATGTCTTGCTCAGTTAGAAATCCTGACAGTACGAACTGTTGGGGTAGCCTTCACCCCACCGAGTCAATGATCGAGGTGGCACCTTCAGGAGACCACCTTCAATTTAACACATTTATTGTCACACCTTTAAAATAGTACATGTACAGTATTAAAACCAAATGCATTTGGGAGACAATTAATGAGTATGTCACCTTGTTTCTAGGGAGCTGAAAACCCCAAGATTGTCTGAAGCTGAGAGCCCATGCAGTGGATTAGAAAGCTATCCTAGTCCTACTTCTTTCCAGTGCGTATCCTATTCTGATTGGTTCAAACTATTACAGTGAGGGAGGGGTTCTTCTTGTATTGGTTGAACTAGCTACTACCTTCCTGCCCTCTCCTGCCTTGAGTATGGGACCCTCCCATACATTCGGGTTTCAGTTGAATTAGTTTTGAGCGGACCTGAGTAAGATGTTGACCTTTTGAGCAGTTCTGAGTAAGATGTTGACCAAGCATAAAAAAGCATAAAATCATGAATGCCTATTGTTTCCCTTATATAGGTATGTAAGCAAAAAGTGTTGATCAAACATAAAACTAGTGAGTGCACATTCTTATCTTATCTGGACATGTGAGCAAAGCCAAGCGCAGTGTTTTTATTAATTTCATTCCTACTTTTAGGACTTGTGTGAAAATCTGATGATGTTTTAGGTCATATTTATGTAGAAATATAGAAAACTAAAGGATTCACAAACTTTCAAGCACCACTGTTTCTGGATGCTGTGGGTTCTAGTTGGACTTTCGCATAACTACCTACAGAACCGACCGTACCTGAACCCTGCAGGTAGGTTCTCCTCAGTTTCACTCACTGGTCTGCATGAGCCCACACAGATGGGGGAGAGTGTAGCTGTGTCCCAATCTAGCGGCTGCATCCTTTGATGGACCTGGCCTATCCGATCGATGTAGGCTGCGGTTCTTCAAAGATCACGTAGACTGGAAGTCAGTGGCTGTGAATTGGGACGGTCTAGCATGGATAATTTCAGTGACTAAAAGACTAATGTATGAACTTTATTAACTTGTGCATAATAAATAAAATGCAAATGCATCTCATTAAATTAGTAATAATTTAATCAAATGCAATGTAATTAATTTAATCAAATGCTATGTAATTAATTTACTATTAAATTATACACACACACACACACACACACATATATATATATATATATATAATATTTAAATTATCTTAAATTTAAAATACAGCATAACATTTTTCAATATTTTATTTTATAAGATCCTTTGGTACATAAAGTGGTTGTAAAAATGTTGAAAACAGGCCTTTCATTTCTTTTATTTCATTAATAAAATAGCACTGTATTGTATATTTACCTTAAGCCTCATTATTGTGATAATGCTTTGACATATTATACAAAATTTGTAAGGATGTTACTTTTCTGTGGCCCGGTGTGTCTGTTTCCCTCGTGCTCCCTCATTAGTTTCCATTGTTGCCACCTGTGTCTCGTCCCAGTTGTTTGTCATCATGTCTCGTCTTCTCCCTGTATATAAGCTGTCCTATTCTGTCTTGTTCTTTGTCGGGTCGTCTTCGTTGGGTACGCTTCCTTGGGTCTCCTGAGTCTCTCCTTGTCTTCCTGGTTCCTCGAGTTCCCCGTGTCTCCTGAGTTCCCCGTGCCTCCTTCCATTTTTTTTTTTTTTTTGAGCTCAGTTTAAGTGTAGAAACATTGTGAAGTGTTTCAATGAACTTATCATCAAACCCAAAATGCCTGTCACAAAAAATTAGCATATTTCATCCCACTAATGAAAGACAAGTGTTTTAATACAAAAAACACCAACCTTCAAATAATCATGTTCAGTTATGCACTCAATACTTGGTCAGGAATCCTTTTGCATGAATGACTGCTTCAATGCGGCGTTGCATGCAGGCAATCAGCCTGTGGCACTGCTGAGGTGTTATGGAGGCCCAGGATGCTTCGATAGTGGCCTTAAGCTCATCCAGAGTGTTGGGTCTTGCGTCTCTCAACTTTCTCTTCACAATATCCCACAGGTTCTCTATGGGGTTCAGGTCAGGAGAGTTGGCAGGCCAATTGAGCACAGTAATACCATGGTCAGTAAACCATTTACCAGTGGTTTTGGCACTGTGAGCAGGTGCCAGGTCGTGCTGAAAAATGAAATCTTCATCTCCATAAAGCTTTTCAGCAGATGGAAGCATGAAGTGCTCCAAAATCTCCTGATAGCTAGCTGCATTGACCCTGCGCTTGATAAAACACAGTGGACCAACACCAGCAGATGACATGACACCCCAGTGACTGTGGAAACTTGACACTGGACCTCAAGCAATGTGAATTCTGTGTCTCC